ACATGTTCAGAGAAGGAACAGATTGGTAATATGCCAATAAAAAACAAAAACAACAAGTTCTCAGTTACAGCAAATGTTAATTTTCAGATCTATAAGATCTAAAATCTCACTCCCAGCCTCTCTGTGGCTTCAGAGTTTAAACATAAAATGCCCCCGATCACATGTTCAAACTATGTTTATWGGTCATAACCCTGGGGATGGTCCCTGTTACATCAGGGATGTCGGAAATGTAAACAACTGTTTTTACACTGCTGGGGCGAGGCACATACATAATATAAACTTGTTGATCCTCTTACTGTTTAAAGGACTACCAATCAGAAAGTATATGACAGTCTCTTAAATTAAGGATCCAACAGAGAGGAGGAGGAGAAAAAGAAGACATTGATGGATAAGATGGATGATATGCAGAGGGTTGGTTGTGATGACATCTAAAGTGAGCAGCCAAAAAAAAAGGCAGTCAAATGGTGTGTTTTTACATTGTTTTGTGTTTATTTATCTTGTTTTGTTCATTAATGTTTACTTTCTGTATATTTCTTGTTGTTTCATCACATTCAGTACTTTTCCTCAGTCACTCTTCGCTCCTCTGCCCACCTGTTCTCTCCACTTTCCTCATCAGTCTCTCAGTTGATCATTGTGCTTTCATGCCTTGTCTAGTTTTTGCTCGTATTCCTTGGTTTTTMTTTTTATTTTTTTGCTCCTATTCCAGCTTTAAGTTTTTCAGACACTAGCAGGGAGACCGGGGACAGTAACAACAAGGGACGGTTGCAACACATCATTTTTCTCCAAACAGAAACAAGCTGGAGTGATGACACTCACACTGTACATGCTCAGTTAGATGCTCCACCTTGCAAAGAAAAAGTAAGCAGATTAAAAAAACTATTCCAGGATTTATTGAAAAAAAAAAAACAGTTTTTGAGGTACTGAAGTGTTTTTTTGCCCAGCTTTATTTTTGTTATATTGTTGTCACTGTTTTTGTGATTCAGCTCAAACTTATGTGGTTTAAACAAGTGAAATGTAGACTTTTAACTAATATGGTTAACATGTATCAAGATCAGCTCATTTAGCTAACAGATAAGGTTTTATTATGGCTGACAGGAAGGGGACAGTTGCAACAACTGTTGCAACTGTCGCAACTGTTGCAACACRATAAATCCATATAAAAACAGAGCATAAAGATGATATTAAAATGTTGAAATTAAGTTTACACTTAAAAAGGTATTGGGCATTCATGAAAAGTTTAAAACATAAAAGTGTTTAAGATGTATTTTCTGCAGTTGTTGTTTTCAACAATGGTTTTAAAATCCCAGTTTCTTTCGATGTAAGTTTTGCATAAAGTAGGCGTACAGTGACAATAGGCCAAACAAAAGTTAATTGCCTCCCAAATTGTTCTGKTATCCTTGTCTCTAAAAGCAAACTGTATTTTATATCATTTACAGTCTTTGACATCTGTATATAAGGTCTACTCATCAAGGCAAATTTATATTTGTCAACTGATCAAAAARAAAAAACAAATAACACAGTAATATATTATAACTTACAGTTCTTTTGAATTTAGCAATAATATAAGTATAAAAATAATAAAACTTTTATTTACAGTGAAATATATTGTATTAATAAAATGTTACAACCACCCCACAGACAATGTTGCAACTGTCCCCTGCTCCGGGTCAGTTACAACATCTGACTTTTCATTTTCAAAGGTAAAGAATGTATTTATGTAATATTTATTTTTTATGTATGTAATTTATGTATGTAATTCAAAGAATGTACATGTTTAATCATCTATAAATGTTTTTGACTATTAACAGACAGATGTAAGTTTATTGTTTTAAAATTTGGTTTGTCTAATCCAAACCATCTCTGAGTAACTGAGTCAAATGTAAAAGTGTTGCAATTGTCCCCGGTCTCCCCAATCATGATAACGTTAGTCAGTCTAAAGCGCGCAGCCGTGCTCGATCAGCACCATGGACAGAGACAGACGTTTAGTCGTTAATGCGCTGAMTGTGCAGATCCAGGTTGGCTCTCTGCAGAACGATGTGAACACGTGGAAACGGCTGGCAGACAACAAGAATTCAGTGTTAACACCAGTGTTAAAATAAAGTTTTTCCAGCAAGTCCAGTTGGTTTCCACCATGTGTCCGAAAACCAGTGAGTTTGCTGGTCTGGAACCTTCGTGTTTGGCAGCGATGCGTCGCAGTTTCACATCAGTAACTGGATTGTTCCATCAGACGGGATCACCTGCATAACTCAATCAAAGAAACAATTATTGATCAGAGTCTCTCTCTCTCTCTCTCTCTCTCTCTCTCTCTC